ATAAGGAGTTCCATATTGCTGGAGAATGGTGGAGAGAATAAAAAGCTGGGCATGCATGAAGGGCCAGACTTATAAAAGGTTAAGGTAAAAGACCTAAACTTCATCCTTTAGCTTCTGAAAGCCATTAAAGGGTTCCCAGCATGAAACATTTATGTTTTAGGAATATGTCTATGGATAATGGATTGTAGTTGAAGAGATATAGGAAAGGACTAGTCACAAGATACTGAAATAAGTGGGAGCAAGGTACAAAAGAGGAGCATTATTAGTCAAGAACTCATTGCAAGTGACAGAAAACTATCCCAAACTAGCTTAAGCCAAAAAGAATTTATAAACTCACATTAGATAAGGAAATGAGATTGCTTACAGAGTGCACTGTCTGATAAAAGAAATCAATTATGGCCCTGGCCAGGTGGCTCAGTTGGTTGGAGCATCATCCCATACACCAAAAGGTTGGAGGTTTAATCCCCAGTGGGGGTGTGTATGGAAGGAAGCTAATGGATGTTTTTCTCTCACATCGATGTTTGTTTTTCTCTCTTTCTTTTCTCCCCCCTCTCTCTAAAAATCAATAAACATAATCTCAGGTGAGGATAAAAAACAAAAGGAAATCTATTATGAGATACCTATCCCATGTTTCCTTCCAAGTGAACTTTTAGAACCTTACAACAAATCTTACAACACTTTGTTTCAAATAGAAATATGTTAGGATAATTGCGTAGCCCACGTTCATTCATTTATTCACAAGCTATTAAATGAAGGTTTACTCTGTGCCAAGCTCTGTGTTGCTAGATGGTGGATGTTTATATTGGTGGGAAAAGGGAACAAAACAAAACCTTAACAACCACTGCTTTCACAGACCTTAAATCTCTAGAGGAAGAGAGAAAATATTCTTAAAACTCTGTGAAAACGTCTGTCATCTCTCTAAGTTTGCTGTCATAAAAAAATCCTGTTGTGAGGAGTAAATAAACAATCTTACTTTAAAAATCACTAAGTCTCCAAGAATAAACTGAGAACTTTAAAGTACTTTCAGATTTCCATGAATAAAAAATTCCAGCACTTACAATTTTATAATAGCGGAATATAATTCTAGGCATTAAATGTAACAGTGATCCCTAGATAATGCAAAGATCAGAGAAATGGATATCGATACTTCTAAACAAAAATGAACATTTCTTATAAAGATTCACAAAATTCTAATTTCTTCTAAACAATCACCTATTTACTTTATCCTTAGAAAACTCTCCTATATTCATCCAAAGTGAATATAAGTCAGGAGTAAATGAATAATTGACATCATTACTTTATGTTTACATGGACTTTCAAGCAATTTCAAAGCTCAAAAGGAAATTCAGTAATATATTTTTTAATATAAAACTTTCTTAACAAAAGACATTTAAGTAATACCCTCAAAAATATCCTCCATTTACCAGTGAGTTAAAATTTAAAGCCATCAAGATATATATCATCTACTTCCTGTCAAACTCTCAAGTCTTTTTCCACCCAGTAATAGTATAAAATATATTTCTCGTACTGGAATCCTAAACTACCAATGCTTAGGAATTCAAATAATTTTAAGTAAAAAGATGCTTCTCCATGGTAAAGCCATGGAATCTCAAATCTCCTTATCAAGGCTATATTAGGACACTCAAAGCATGAAATATAAAAACAATGCCCACTGACCATGAACACTGCAGAAGTATCTAACACTTGTATGATTCTACTGCATAAAATTCACAAACACCAAATGAGAGGCTAAAGTATTATTGTACTGGTTTACAGAATGTCATAAAAGATCTTTTTGACCACTGGAAAGCAACATTAAATCTTCATAAAAAGCACAGCATAATTACATTTCGGGAAAAATATGATGTGTAATGTAATACAACAGCTTAGCCTCACTTATGTAGTAAAGGCCTGTAATGACTAAGCCAGGTAGGCCCTGGCTTATCAGATTTTAATTCATTTTACAGCATACCCATTTTTCCCCCTTTGCTATATATAGATTCACCTGCTTTTCAGTTTATCAATATACTAACTTTTTTAAATTACTGTTCTAGACAAGTTAGAATGATTCAGCAACTAAATCTTAAATCCAAGAGCAAAATGCAGCTGATTTTTTTCTAAAGCAATCAAAATCTCACTCAAGAAAATCTGCCTGTATAGCCAGAGAAAAAGAGGAATTAGTTTCTATCAACGAATTCAATAAAGTATGTTATGAAAATGACCATTTGAAAAATAATTTAAAATGATAATCATATGAATCAGTGCCTACATTTTGATTTTGCTTTCATTTTTTAGTACATGAAAAGCATCTTGGTTCACTTAATTTTAGCAGGTTCATAATTTAAATAATACATTATAAGAAGATGCTAGCCTTACAAAAGTCCTTACCTTTTTTAATTTCTTATTACCTGCAAACAATAGGTAACAGAGCTTGCCTCTGCTCGTCATTCTTTTTCACTAATATTTACTCATGGCTTGAATAAAACATTATGATTTTTATGAAATTAATAGCTGTAATAAGAGCACTGTTTACTATTTTAAAGCTATCCTCTCCAATCTTACTACAGAGCTCTTTTTTCCCTCTTTGTTTAAAATTTCAGGGTATTTGGGGGGGGGGGGATAAGGAAAATGCACTCTGAAAAGAACACCAATTAAAAGTACTAGCAAAAATAGACTTATCTTTTTTCAATAATTGGCAATACAAGATGCTAACCTAATGTTATAATTTAGAAAAAATACCAAAACCAGACTGCAACAGTTCACACCCTGAAAATGTGGCCTATTTATCCTGAAAACATATAATCTATAAATACAGATAAAATACAAAAATCACATTTAATATTTACACTTTAAATCCTGAATTCTACCAAACTGTCTCTTCATTTTCATTTCAAAATCTATTTTATGTTTCAGAAAGATAGCCTTCGTCCTCTGATGTTCTAAAAATAGACTCCTACTGTCTCTTTTACAAAAAACAATTATGCTCGGTTACGGTCCTACCATATCAGCCACATCACCAATAGCTAAAATTCCTATTTAACCTCATTTTTGGCAATAAAAATGGTAACTAAATATAAAAAAAAAATCTTACCTATATGCTGCATTTTCTTTCAAATGCAATATGGTTAGATTCCCCTTCTACTTAATCAGTACAGTGTCTGAACATTTTTCAGTCTGACTTGCAAATATTTGCTTTCCCTCTTAGGGCATAGCATCCGCAGGGTTATACAGCACTACTTACATTCTCTTCCACATAAAATCAGACATTACATGAAAGGAAAAGAAAGACAGCCCATTTCAAAGCATCTGGCAAACCTCCATTGGCAACCTGCCAAGCCTCTGCTAAACCTTCCTGTCTTTCCGAGCATGCTCACTTAAAACCAACAGCATGTTACTATGGCAACTCTGTAGGCAGCCTCTAAGTATGAACCGCCATTCTGATTTCAGAGTGCAAAACACCAAATACTGCAGGGGAAGTAAAAGGAGAGAAATGCTGTATGCCCTTCATCACATACAAGTATACTAATTTTATTTCATAAATTCATATTTGTAAATGTAAAACAGAAATAAGCATTCCACATTTTTCAAACAAATATTTTTCATGCTCAAAGAGGAAGGTCCTCCTTTTCAGTAAACTCATTCTCTTTGTCTATCCCAAAACTCCTTTACCTCATAACAACCAAAAATACACTGGACAATTTATCCCATTTGACAAAACACTGCTGAATAAATAGACGACAATATTCATGTAAATAATTATGTGGAATTCCATGAATGATTTCCTACAATTATATACTCCTAAGTGACATATTAATATTACAAAGAAAGCCATCAGCACTTCAAAAATGTAATCTAAATCTTTTCTATGACTGAACAAACTGCCAAATGAAATTTTCTTTCAGTTTGGATAGAATTTTTTTATGCCCATTATCCTTGAAATACTGTTAAATGTCTGGAAGAGGTCATGTTTTCGAAGTTAAGACAGACCAGACCTAGGTTCAAATCCTTGTTCTCCACATTTAACCTGGGTCACCTTGAAAAGTTATTTAACTTTATGACCCTCACTTTTCTCACCTTTAAAGTAGGATAACACCAGTCACTCCACATAGCAAACATTTAAATGAGTTAACACATGTAACTCCTACACACATTTCTTTACTCCTTGGTTGTTTGGGAAAGGTAGTAAAATAAAATAAAAAAGTTTGCCCTTGATTCACCTGAAGAGTTCTTCTTTGTAACCTCTTACTGTGTAAAAATTAGTCCTGATTTGCACACTAAGCTAGAAGCCAAAAAACAAACAAACAAATCCTCTCTCCCAAATCAAGTTGAACCAGAGAAAGACAGAAACAAGAGATACTCTAAACCGGGGTGGTGAATGTCGGGCCCACAGGCTGTATAAGGCCGTTGAAATCACTTGGTCTGGCCCTGCCAAGGCATTAGGGGTGAGTTAATTAAATGTCTGACCAAATACAGCAGGCTAATTTTTAAACTGATAATTCTGTATGGCCTGCAAATGATATTATAACTACCCAAATGGCCCTTGGCAGAAAAAAGGTTCCCCAACCCTGCTCTACAAAAGTGTAACTTTTACTAGAGTATCCTACATAATAAAAAGCCTAATATGCAAATCGATGTGCACTGACACCAGGGGGCAGACTCTCAATGCAGGTGGTCAGTGTGCTCCCACAGGGGGAAGCCTGGCTCATGGTTGGCGAGCACAGCGGTGGTGGCAGGAGCCTCTCTGCCTCTGCTGCAGGTGGGTGGTAAGGAGCAAAGGGTCCCGGACTGTGAGAGCCCCAGGCTGTGAGAGGGATGTCTGACTGCCAGCTTAGGCCCGGGCCTAAACTGGCAGGTTGGCAGGTGGACATCCCCCAAGGGTCCCAGACTCTGAGAGGGTACAGGCCGGGCTGAGGAACCCTCCCCCCATCAGTGAACTAATCTCATGCACCAGGCCTCTATATTAAAATGTTTTTATGTTACAAATATAAAATTTCACCTACCACCTCTTCTTCTTCCTTTTTGACCTCCTTTTCCTTCTCTTCCTCATTTTCTTCAGGGGGGCCATCTTCATCATCACTGCTAGATGACTCAAGGATTTCACTTATATCCATTTTCCAATTATCAGGAACAACTCTAGTTTTTAAGAAGATGCTTGCTTTCTGTAGCCCTAAGATTTAAAACACACTTCAGCAGTTGTTATGGAATCAGCATAACATGACTGAAAGGCATAACATTCAGTCAAAAGATCTGGGTTCAAATTCAACTGTCACTTATAAAACAACACAATACAGCCCTAGCCGGTTTGGCTCAGTGGATAGAGAATCGGCCTGCAGACTGACGAGTCCCGGGTTTGATTCCAGTCAAGGGCACATGCCTGGGCTGCGGGCTCCATCCCCAATAGGGGGTGTGCAGCTGATCAATGATTCTCTCTCATTATTGATGTTTCTATTTTTCTCTCTCCCTCTCTGAAATCAATATATACACACACACACACAAAATAATACAATACATTCGAACACCTTTTGTAAGTTACAATGTCATATTAATGTTTATTACTCTAGAAAATACTGTTAGAAATCTTAATGGTAAAATATGAAAAGTAATCCTCATCTAAAAAATTATAAATCAAATGTTCTTTCTAGACATTTAAAAATAGCCATCAAATAAGAGTGGATATCAACTTTAAACAGTTAAAATGGCACCAGAGAATAGTCTGTCTTGCTTTAGTCAGTATTCGCCATTTACAGTCACATCATGAAATAATGCATTGATTCAGCCTTATCTTACCTGGTTTAGCAGAGAGCTCAGATTCAGGCAGATTGAGAATGTCCACTTCCTTGATATCCTTTCTTGCTATAGAATAACTAATTATAGAAAAGAAGAAAAGGGAGGGAACCATTATTAAATAAAAATCATCATTTAAATAGTCCTTGTTAATACATAGAAAAATATAAACCTTAAAATCATAAGTATTTTGCACATAAAATGTTTTAAAAGATCGTATATATCCTAATCCTTAATAAAGATTAAGAGGTAATATATGCAAAGCTGGTGTCTTAATTCTGATGATTCACATACTCAAAGTATATTAATGAGAGCCTCACATTTGTAATATTTCAATCTATGCAACTCTCCTACACACAGCATGGGGTACTTTATATCAGCATGATGTTTTTCTTATGGAAGACAAAAATGTCTATGTTGATCTTCATTGTTTCTTAAACTTACTGTTTGGTTTAGTAAAAAGAAATGTAATAGAAGATAGTATTAAAATATGTTTATCATTGTAAGATATATTATGGCACTAAATTTTTCAGAGGATTATAACATATTTTTCTTAATTTTACATCTTTTCATGGAAACAAAGCAAAGCTGAAGAAAAGTTTCTAAAAATCTGACTTTTAATCAGAAAAAAAGTCAAGATAATATTCTGGTAATATAAATTTTATTTAAAGAATATTTCATAGTTCATAACATGTAATAGTACATAGAAATTACAGAATTTTTACAATTAAAGAGAAAATCAATATCATGCTATATTTAAAAAACTACTTACTATTATTCTCACATATTGTTGTTCAGGTTTTAAAGTTTTTAAGTAAAAAATAACCTACATTACGAAGTCAAAACATAAGTAAAAATTCAGTTCATGAAGTGATTAAACTTTTTAAAAAAACTTTTCTATCACTGTGATTTTATTTATTTTTCTCCCAATGTAACACTATGAAGTGATTCATTACTCACAATTTAGAATCGATAAATGATCGAACTAAACACTGGTCTTTTCTCACTGTGATGTCATCATTACAACTGGGAGATATTACCTAAAATAAAAAATAATACATTGATTCCTATTATCCTTGCTCAAAAACAGAATATATTCTTAAGTGAATTATCTGTAACAATAGGTCGCCTTCCAGACGACCTTCCAGACGAAGCTGAGGCTGTGAGGGAAGCCCGGGTCCTGGATGCCTGCCAGTGGCTGGAGGAAAGCTCAGGTCCCGGGTGCCTGCCAGCAGCCAGAGGGAAGCTTGGGTCCCTCGTGCTAGAGGGAAGCTGATGCTGGCAGCCAGGGGAAGGAAGGCCTACTCTTGCACGGATTTCGTGCATTGGGCTTCTAGTATTTTATAAGAAAGAGCTTCATTATCAATACCTTCCATTATTAATTACTTATAAAAGAAGATAACCTTATAATTTTTCTTTAGCATATTAGTTTTCTAGGTATTTTATTTATCTAGTCATCTATATATATAAAAGCCTAAGCGACCAACCGGTAGCTATGATGTGCACCGACCACCAGGGGGCAGACGCTCAACACAGGAGCTGCCAAGCGACAGCAACTTTGCAGAGTGCCCTCTCACATTCTGGGACCCTTCGATGGATGTCGGACTGCCAGTTTTGGCCCAATCCCTGCAGGCTAGGCAAAGGGACCCCACCTGCCAGAGGGACTCAGCAGATGCCCTTCAAGCCCCAGCGCCGCCCCAGGTGCTGTTGGCCAGGGAGGGACTGCAGGAGGTTGGCTCCAGGGCTTGTATGGCCCATCTCGCCCAGTCCTGCCCCTGCCAGCTACCTTCTAATTAATTTACTTTCAATGTAACCAGGCCTCTAGTTAGATTATAAAATGATAATTAATGAAATATAAATTACAATGTGACCACCAAAATATTTAAAAATATTAGGACTTACTCTAAGCTAAATAATAACTCAGTTATTGAATTAACAAATTATGTATGATACATGATGAACATTTGGCATATTATAATTTTTTTTATTTTTTTATTTTTCGCTAAAAGTATTACAAAGGGTATTACATAAGTGTCCTTTTTTCCCCCCGGCCCTTGACAAACCCCTGCCCTCCCTTACCCCCCAGTGTCTTATGTCCATTAGTTATGCTTATATGGATGCATACAAGTCCTTCGGTTGATCTCTTACTCCCCTCCCTCCTGTCCCCCAACCCTCCCTGGCCTTCCCACTGCAGTTTGACAATCAGTTTGAGGCAGCTCTGCCTCTGTATCTATTATTGTTCAAAAGTTTGTAATGGTCTTTATTATCCATGAATGAGTGAGATCATGTGGTATTTTTCCTTCATTGACTGGCTTGTTTCACTTAGCATAATGCTCTCCAGTTCCATATTATAATTTTTAAAAACATACTTGAATCAGGATCTATTTTAAAATAAACACCTATCTAAATTCCCTTTCTTACCAGGGCATGTACAGCTTTTAGTAATTAACTCAAATCTGAGAAAATCTGAGTAAAGAACTTTTTAATTTCTTAAAAAATAACAAATGTAAATAACTAGTCTCTGTATACTTTATAGAATTTAATCTTTTTTTAAATATTAAACCCTACCAATAAATTACTGACATGTACCTGCTCATTATTACCCCTAACTAGCCCCTCTCCTACAATCTAGCACTAACCACAAAACTTTGTTCAATGATGAAAATCTTCTACATCTGTGGGGGGTGGGGTGGGGGGGTTATGGGGGGGATAAGGACACATATGTAATACTTTAATCAATAAAGAAAGAAAATACATTTTTAAAAAATCTTCTATATCTGACCAATAAAGTAGCAATGAACCACATGGGACTGAGCACTTGAAATGTGACTAGTGCAACTTAGAGATTGAATTTTTAATTCTATTTAATTTTAATTGTTACATTTAAATAGCCACATGGCTATTATATTAAACAGCATATATCCAGATAATTAAAAATTCTTGGCAGTCATACAAGCTGTCTTAATATCAGATGAAAGTAAATGTTTGTTAGGTGCTGGTAATTATTATATTAATAATACATTTGTGCCCTGGCCTTTGTGGTTCAGTTGGTTGAGCAGCATCCCATGCACCAAAAAGTTGCCGGTTTGATCCCCACTATGGGAGAAAACCAATCGATGTTTCTCTGTTTCTCTCTCCCTCTTCCTCTCTCTGTAAAAAGATCAATAAAAACATTTTTTTAAAAAAGATAGAAGAGGTGAATATTTAAAAATAATATATTTGTGTCTACCTTCAAGGAGCTAACTGTAATGAAGGGTCAAGATACACAAAAGAACACAATGGAGGATAAGTACAGTGATACCACTAGGCTCAGGATAACACAAAAGCATCTAGGAAGAAGATTCAACCCAACCTGGAGAAGGAAAAGGTGTAGCAGCAAAGGATTCAAGTAAGTCTTAAAGGATGAGTAGGCACAGCCCAAAGCTTAATTACCTCATTTGTGAACCACTCTAATGGCCTCCAAATTGGTTCCTGCCACCTCCAGTCTTTCTAATAATAATCCACCCAACATACCACGGCCTCATTAATATTCCTACAAACACAGCTCAAATACTGTCACTCTTCTGCAAAATACTATGCAGAAATATGTCCAAATTCCTTAGATGAACTTTTAAAGACTCTTCTGCTCTATATCCAAATTACCTTCCCAATCTTTCCAATTTTAATTTAATCTTCACCCAAGGATATGCTTTCATTGATTTTTAGAGGAAGAAGAAGGGGGAGAGAGAGGGAGGAACTTTGATGGGTTGCCTCCCATACATGCCTTGATCAGGGATCAAACCCAAAACCTAGGTATGTGCCCTGACTGGGAACTGAACACACAACCTTTTGGTGTGCAGGATGACACTTCAGCAAACTGAGCTACCCAGCCAGAGCTATGTTCTCGAACTTAGTTCCTATTATTCCCCTACTCACATCTAATATTTAGCCAAAATGGATTCCCAGATCAAACAGTTCCATGGACAAACCTCTTGCTTTTCTGCTTTTACTTATCTTACATCCTCTAAGTCAGTCCTCTAACGAAGCTCTGCTTACTAACTCTAAATCCTTCAAGGCTCAGCTCAAAAGTACCTGCTTTATGATGGCTTTCTGGATTTCCTTTAAATAAATATAACCTCTCAAGACAAAGAAGTCATAATATTAAACATATACTATTTTATATTACTACTATAGTTACTAAAATCATTTTCTGCATTAGACTATAAAATCACCAAATGTAGATTGGTGTCTTCCTCATCTTTTATTTTGTACATCACCAGAAAAAGGATAAATCTGTTGAATAGTTATTTTTTTTAAGTCTCTTGGCAAATTATGACCTGAATATTCTGAATCTAACCCTATTTATTTGCCTGTACAATGAATGATTCAAAGGATTTTCAGACTTTTCCTCTATAAGGTAAATCCATTATACGGGATTGAGTAATGCATTTATATGCACAAATAACCCTAAAAATATGGCCTCAGCTCTTCAAAGGATTCTAATTTAATTTGGGACACATTTTTGTGCCAAAATTATTAGAGATACAAGTGATATCAAAACTCAGAGAAGAAGGGCATATTTATGTTAGTATTTAGGGGAGATTACAGAAAAGGTAGGACTTGAGTTGGACCTTAAGACTTATTTAAGAAGAGAGAAATAGGAAGAGGAGAAAGAGGAGACAGGTATTACCAAATATTATTGATTCCTCTCATGAAATAAATCTCCTGCCCATCCATTCTTTTCTTTTCTTTCTTTTTTTTTTTTTTTAAATATATTTTATTGATTTTTTACAGAGAGGAAGGGAGAGAGATAGAGAGTTAGAAACATCGATGAGAGAGAAACATCGATCAGCTGCCTCCTGCACACCCCCCACTGGGGATGTGCCCGCAACCCAGGTACATGCCCTTGACCGGAATCGAACCCGGGACCCTTGAGTCCGCAGGCCGACGCTCTATCCACTGAGCCAAACCGGTTTCGGTAGCCCCCATCCATTCTTTTCATTCCTTCCCTGAATAAGCAAAGATTAGTTTTCTCTACTAACCTATCTACTAAGACTTGCATTTCCAAAGTCTAAGTGTACCTTTCCTTTCTCCAGTAACTCCCTGTCCTGCGTCTGCCCCAAAAGTTTTTAAAATTACTATATAATTTTTCATTACTATGTGTTTAGTAAGCTGCCTGAAAGCAATGTGTTGCAAATCTCATACTTCTCTCTCTTCTAAGGAACTTAGAACAAACCTGAACTCACTGCAGATCCTCAGTAAATATTAACGATTTAAGCAGGCTTGGAGGATTGAAGTGATTTATGGAGGGAGAAATTAAGAAAGAACCTGAGTAAAGCAGAGAGCTTACACTGGGAATGGGAACAAATCAAGAGGTAGGGATGGCCTTAAATATTTATTTGAGAAAGCAGAATTGATCCATCAGGCAGTCAGTGAAAGTTTTGTGTGTTTTGCCCTAGCTGGTTTGGCTCAGTGGATAGAGCCTTGGCCTGTGGACTGAAGGGTCCCAGGTTTGATTCCAGTCAAGGGCACATGCCCGGGTTTAGGGCTCGATCACTGATGGGGGGCATGCAGGAAGCAACCAATCAATGATTCTCTCTCATCATTGATGTTTCTATCTCTCTCTCCCTCTCCTTTCCTCTCTGAAATCAATAAAAATATATTAAAAAAGAAAGTTTTGTTTTTTTAAAGAATGAGACTATCATAATTAAATCTCTAAAAAAGTTACTTCTAGAAAATTAATTTAAAAATTTCAATAATCAAGTTAAGGGAACTTGGGAGGTAGCTTACTGTAGATCAGGTATAAAGTGGTAATAGGAACAGGGTAAAAGGAAACACCACTAACATGTTTTAAAGGAAGAACTGAAAGATTCCAGGTGGGGAATGTTCAGCCCACAAAAGGCCCTTGAAATCATTTGGTTTGGCCCTGCCAAGGCATTAGGCATGAGTTAATTACATATTTGACCAAATATAGCCGGCTAATTTTTAAGTTGATAATTTTGTATGGCCCGCGAATGATTTTATAAATATCCAAATGGCCCTTGGCAGAAAAAAGGTTCCCCGCCCCTGCAATAAATGATCGGCTACAGAGAATTAAAATTAAACAAAGGAAACAACAAAAAGAGACAGTGAAGTATGTGGGACCTGAACATGATTGCTCAGTTTTGCAATGAAGTCCAAATTAAATTTGTGTAACACTTTAAAAATATTTTAAATGCTTTTTTAAAATCCATGTGAAATAAGTATGTTAAATGGTTGATTAACTTTGGAAAGAAACCTTACTTACCAAAGCAGGATACCATTCGGTCTTCTCAGAAGTAGATATCACACTTACAACTTTTCCTAATAATTCATCATTGAGACGTCGCTTATCTTCATCTTCATCTTCACTAGTTTCTTCTTCCTTTTCATCTTCATTACTAAAAATTAAAATAATTTTATCATAATCTTAAGATAAACCACTTTGAATATAGTCAGAGTGGTGTGAATTTAATACATACAACTCAATTTCTAATCCGTATTACCCCTTTTTATTCTTATTTGAATTGAAGAGCTAGACATTTCCTAGCCCCACAGAAGTGGTCCTGAGACGCCCATGGTAACTCTGAGTCCACTTCACCAGATCAATGAGGACACGAACTTAAGCTCTCCTGCCAACCACCCACTGGGACAGAAAAGCCTAATTATGTCACCATGAAGAACTTACTGTGCCAAACACATTTTTAGAAAAGATTACCTTCTATTTTTTATGTATGCCAGATAACAGAACTCTAATTTTCTGACAGATTATGAAAACACATCTGAGGGGTTATTTAGATGACCTATCTAGATAACTAAACAATAAAACAAACCCATAGCAAAGAAGAGTTTACAGAACTAGTAGACTAGCCTGTACTTTTCAAAAATGTCAATGTCATGAAAAGACAGTAAAAAAAAAGGGGGGGGGGGCCTGAGGAACTTTTGCAGATTAAAAGAGACTTGAGAACCATATAAACTAAATGCAATGCATGATCTTAGATTGCATCCTAGAATCAGGGAATGCTATAAAGGCTATTTTGGGCAACTGGCAAAGATAGCATTCTATACTGTTAAATTTCTGATTCTGATAATCATACTTTGGTTATGTAAGAAAATGTCCTTGTTGTGTCCGAGGTAAAGTATTTAAGAGGTAAAAGGTCACGACACTTGCAACTTCCTCTTAAATAGTTCAGCCAATTAAAGTCATTATTTAAAACATTGTAATATGTACCTATAAAAAGAGAAAATGACAATGCAGATGTGCTAAAAATGTTAACAATTAGCGAAACTAGATGAATATATTTAAGTTTATTGTAATATTCTTTAAAATTTTAAGTTTGAGAGGGGTGGGGGAGGCTGGAAGAGATTAACCAAAGAGTTTATATACATATAGGCATAGCCCATGGACACAGACAATAGTGTGGTATGCCTGGGCGGGAGCAGGAAGGAAAAAAGGACATCTGTAATACTTTCAAAAATAAAGATAAATTAAAAATTTTAAGTTTGAAATGTTTTTGAAATAAAAAGGTTAAAAAATTATATATACTCACTAAAAATAAGAAAATTGTATCAATTATGGAATTTGGCAATGTAATTCAAAACAAAAATAACCTTTTTGAAAAAGGAGTGTGATAATTACTGACAAAGTAATGGGAAAAATTAAGAACAAGGTTGGCGCAGGGTAATATATCTAACATAAGAATACAAGATGTGATGAAAAAGTTACCCAAATTTAGCCATCCTAGAAAAGTCATTTGTTTAATTTATAATAATTACTATAATGTTACTGTATATGTTAACACTCACATAGGAAGAGAGGACCTCCTTCCTCTGTTCGTCTTCTTTGCAATTACTGGAGTTCCAAAATGCTCTGGATTTGTTAATGGAAGCTGATCAAGTGTCTGGATAAGAAACAAATAAATTAAATCACATTTTTCTCTACATGAGTATCCTTTGTTCAACCCCAAAAGTCCTTGTCACCTTACCTCACTCTCAGCAAAATGTCTCTCTCCTTTTAAGCAAAGTGAGGTGCGTCTCAATGTCCTCTCATCACCATCATCAAAAACTGTAATAAGCGAAAAAGAGAAAATTTATGCCCACAAATAAAAATATAACTGCACTGAATGCTGTCATTGCTATTTATCTAGGGCTTAATATTTGCAAGAACCGTAATTGGTTATTTTTCAAAACCTTTTAAAATGTACATATCACATTTTTCATTTTATAGGTACCAAACAAGTTAAATGGCTGCCCCCAACTGCTTGTCTCCAGTCACCTTCTTAAACCATTAGCAGCATAGTCAAAACACAAATATTAAGTTACTTTTACTCCTAAAAGAATGAGCAAAAACCTGGTTTACAAAAATGAAGTGTTATGGGTGTGTTTTTTTCAAGTTATCAATGGAGTACCTCTAACTTCAAGAAACTGACTTCTGATAATGATGTTGGATTATTTACTTCTTCTAGTTATTTGTATGATAATCTACCATAGTAGCTTCTAAAGCAGTGGTTCTCAACCTTCTGGCCCTTTAAATACAGTTCCTCATGTTGTGACCCAACCATAAAATTATTTTTGTTGCTACTTCATAACTGTAAAGTTGCTACTGTTATGAATCTTAATGTAAATATCTGATATGCAGGATGGTCTTAGGCGACCCCTGTGAAAGGGTCGTTCGACCGCTAAAGGGGTCGCGACCCACAGGTTGAGAACCGCTGTTCTAAAGTCATAAGATTCAACTTTTCTCTTTTGGTAGAAGAGGATGTAAGAAGTTTAGACATAAAGGTTGAAACGAGGAAAACATCAAAAAGCTGAATTTTTTTTTAAAATTCTGAAAAATTAGTCAAAATTACATGGAACTTTTCTTAAAACTTTTTACTTCTGTAATTTTTAAAAATCACACTTCTTCAAAACTACTTGAAAATACTTTAAGGAAATGGGGGCAAAGAATTTAACAATTAACAACTAACGTTTACCATATAAGTAGCTATATTATCTTGATAATTTTATAGGTTTAATTTTGCAGAAATGTACTGATTTTAACATCTAGAACTTACAAAGCTTACAAAAAAGAAAATGTTCTCAGAAGACACCCGATTGTCCAGCATTATGAAGAAATAAAATATAAAATGGAGTCCTTACTTCAGATACTTAAAACATATAGACGTATCAACAAATATTTGTAAATGTATGAAAATAACATGAACAGGGAAACATATATATACAAAAATTGTTACTTTAAGATTTAATCCTGCTTTTCATAATTTTAGATGGTTTTCCATTGTGTGTGTGTTTTTTTAGGGTTTGCAGAACCAGCTAGGGCTTTATTTTTTGGGGGGAAACCACTTGATTTGACTTTTAGTTGGGAGCATGGGAAAGAGGTGGTCCCCCAGGCAGTAACTCCCCCACCACAAGGGTGAGCTAGGCCTGGGGCTGAGCCTCAGACAGGGCTTCCTGTGCCCGCTGCTCCCCGGCACGGCTCCTTTCCCAAGGCTAGGACAGGAGGGACCCCAGTAGTCATTCACTTGGGGAGGACATCAGATGATTCAGACATCAGCTTCCCATCTTGGGTCTCAATCTTCTTCACCACCATCGTCTTGAAGGAGCTGGTGCGGCTGAAGAAGGCAGAGCTCCCAACAGAGCCCAAGTTGGCCTGGAAGCCCAGACCATAGTTGAGGTTCCCGTAAGATGGGTTCATCAACCCACCTGAGTAGCCACTGGTGGTCTTGGTGTGGGTGCTCATGTTCTGCATCCCAGATTCCAGCTGGTTCTCCTCACCCTCCAGCCACTTGTGATAGGTGGCAATCTCCACATTCAGGGACAGCTTGACATTCATGAGCTCCTGGTACTTGTGCAGCTTCCAGGCCACGTCCTTCTTGGTGTTTCTCAAGAGCAGCCTCCAGCTCAATCACCTTGGATTGAGCATCCTTGATGGCCAGCTCCCCACGCTGCTCGGCATCAGTGATGGTGGCCTCCAGGGAAGCCCTCTGGCCTCTGAGGCCCTCAATCTCAGCCTGGAGTCCGCTGATGTTCTGGTTCAGCACAGAAATCTAGGTCTTCATGTAGCACAGGTCACCCCCATGCTTCCCAGCCAACATCTGCAGTTCCTCATACTTGATGGTACAGAAACTCAGCCTCAGCCCAGCTTCGGTTGGCGATGTCCATATTCTGGGCGTTGACCTCAACAATGATTCCATCGAGGTCCAGAGAGCAATTGTTGTCCATAGACAGCACCACAGATGTGTCAGAGATCTTTGCAGTTCATGAATCTCCTCTTCATACAGTTGCTTGTTGATCTCATCGGTCAGGGTCAGCCCATCCATGTGGGACTCCAGCTCTACCTTGTTCATGTAAGCTTCATCCATGTAAGCTTACCTTCTTAGAAAGGAAAAATTCATTCTCCATCTCTGTGCGCTTGTTGATCTCATCCTCGTACTTATTCTTCAAGTCGTCCACCAGTCCCTGCATGTTGCCAAACTCTGCCTCCTGAACCAGCTGCTGCCGAAGGTTGTTGATGTAGCTCTCGAAAACATTGTCCATGTGACTGTGAGTTGTATACTGCTGCTGCATGAGGTTCCATTTGATCTCCAGAATCTTAATCTACTGCTCCAGGCTCCACACCTTATTGATGAAGGAAGCTAACTTGTTGATGGTCTTGATCTGTTCCTTCTCCTGGTTGCACACAGCCTAGATGTCAGGGTCTACCTCCAGCTTCAGGGGACTCAGCAGGCTCTGGTTCACTTAGACAGCTGTGATGCTCCCCATACTCCCAGCCCCGTCGTAACCCCAGGCCACCCCAGTAGCTGCTGCCCACCCAGGAAAAGGCCACCAGAGCACAAGTTGGCCTGGAAGCCACCATAGGAGATCATCTGGGTGCCAGGCCCACTGGAGTATGAGCAGCTGCTAAAGACCCTGGAGCCAGAGGTGGACACCGTGTAGGTCTTCTTGTGGACATGGCGAAGACTGGAGTGGAGGTGAGGAGGCTGAACCAGACAGATTCAAGAAGGAGCCAAAAAGCTGCTTGGTGTTTTTCCATTCTAACAAAATAGGTTAGTATTAATAAAAGAAAATTTTGCATTACCTGAATTTAGTAATATCTTAGATATCTTACTTTGTTATCTATATAATTAAAATCCTGCATTTAAAATTTTTTAATTGATTTTAGAGATAGAGGAAGGAGGAGAGGGAGAGAAAGAGAAACACTGATTTGTTGTTCCACTTATTTAAGATTTCATTTGTTGATTCTAATATGTATCCTGACCTCGGATGGAATCCACAACTTTGGCATATTAGGATAATGCTCTATCCAAGTAAGCTACCTGGCCAGGCCATCCCTGCCTTTTTTTTTTTTTTTAAAGGTTGTTTTATTATTACTTTGCCTTCAAATCATAAACTTAATTTTTCATAACAGAAATTCAATTATGTAAGAGCACTCTACTTCTTCAATATTTATCTACCACAGTCAGTTCTTTTTCTTAGACTAAAGACATCTAGCTTAGATTCTCTTACATGCAGGAGACAATGCAGAGGCAATTAACAGCTCCTGAAGCACATATTCAAAGAACCATAATGATCCCACAAAGCAGCTGTTTTATACACTGTCAATGATGCAGAAATTAATGACCACTTGCAGACAGACACAATGACAGGATAAAACAGCACCTTTTAACAATTACATCATTAATCTATAGTGCTCTAAACAAACATTTGTATCAAAATTATAATTCATATGGGGTCAAGGCTAATAATAAACCACTGTTCTTTATAAAATTCAAAATCATAAAATCATACCAAATTTAAAATAATGCTTCACATTAATATTAAAGTCCGTAAGATACTAAAGAATAAAATCTTCAAAGTTCCAATTTTCCTTGATGCCTACATTACAAAGATGATAACACTGGACACACACCTACATACTTATATACACACACATTTAAGTGGAGGTATGAGGAAGGAAAATGAGACTGAAAGATCAATTAATACTAAATTTAGGTCACAAAATCTTTTACCCAGTTTTTTATCATTAAAATCAATGGCAGCCCAAGTCAAAATATTTTTATTAGAAATTTCAAGTTTAACATAATTCTTGTTTTTCAAAATAACCATTTTGAAATAAATCAGATTTTTGAAAGAAAAGATTAATTTCACTCATCACATTTTATTTACTACCAGTAGAAATAATGTAAGAACCAAAGAAACTTCTCAACAGCAGACTGTGGAGCAATTCACAGCTTTACATAGGAACCCTTCCCTCTTCAAGTGAAAGAAGAGAAACAGTATTAAGACTTATTTTAAAATTCACAGAACTATGCGAAACTGTGTATTTGAGTTCTTTAACAAGTCTGTTAAGCCATGTGATTTCTCAAGATTTTCTGAAAGGCAAATAGAAAACCCAACAGCAAGGTAGACCTATTAATCATGATATCCTGATTATCAAAATCATGAAAGTTCTACCTATAAGAAGTTTTCTCTATAGCTTCTAAGAATCATTTAAAAGAACACAAAATTTGTAGGCATTGAAAAGTGACTTTGGCATTTTGATAAGTGAAATAAGTAACTGGTGTACTTAGTAAACTTAGCTTCTTTCAGTTTAAGATGTATACTACAGCATGCCAAGAGGAAAAAAAAAACGTAAGGTTATTAGGATTTAGTAATTCTATGAAATTTCTTATACTTGCATTTAAATAGATTATTCATTGAGTGCAATAGGATATAACAAAAGTAATATCTCTGTTATTATATTATATATAAATACTAAAACCTAATTTTAGAAAAATGATAAAGCTGAGACTCTCTCAATTAACTTTACTCACTCTAGGCAAAATAATACCAATGCAAACAAATATACAAAGCCTAATCCTAAACTGTTAGAATTCAAAGAAACAAAAGCCAACAAGGATCTAATCTAACTACTAAATACATAGTAGTCTATCGTAACACTGTTAGATGCTGGAGGATAGTAAGATAATAATAATAAATTAACTTTATTTACCCACTCTATAATTGGCTATCACTTAAGTTTCACAGCAGCCTCTACCAGACAGAAATTACTACCTTCCTTTTATAGATAAAGAAATTGAGAATCAGAAAGTTAATCAATGAGCTACAGTTTAGTCAAGAGGGATCAAAATGTATAATAAACAGGTATGAAGCAGAGGTATAAAATGAACAAATTCTGACTTTGGAAAAATAAGTATTATTATGTCTGTGTATTGCAGTTATGATAAACGAAATATTTCACATAATGGAGTAAAAACTTTAAAGTTAAAAATAGATACATTCCCTATGAAAAATCAATAGTTCTGTTACTCATAAAATCATCTGTTGAGTCCTTCAACAGCTAAGGTCAAAAACTTCAGGAATCTGGAAACTTGAGAAATTAACATTCAAATGTCTAATTAGATTAAAATATGGGAATTCTAAGTCTCATGAAAGGCCATTTAAACAAGGGGTTAAAGCCTATCACAGGACTGAATAGATTCCTTGTTGTTTAGTACATTTTTTCTTAACAATTTTCTAGTCAATGGAATAACCACCTAGTTTTGAAAACATATTGTAGTTGATTTTGGTTATAACAACATTTGTCAGAAGAGGCTCTAACTAAATTAAAAGCCTTATAAAGCCTTCAGCGCATTCCAAAAGAAATGTCAGTCATTTCTAGTTTAATCTAAACTAGAAATTCCATGAGATCTGATATGATGCATGTGCAGAACAATAACTATAAGGCATAAAAAAATTAATGTAAAAAAATAATGTGTCACAAAAACACATAAATGATCAAATAGATTTTAGTGTTAAATCTGATATATAATGTATATGTACATTTTATATGTAAGTTACTAAATTTAACAGCCATTTTTTCCCCTTATTTTTCAAATCAATGTGTTATTTTCATACCCCAAAAAGGCAAAAGAGGAGTAACTTTATAATGTCTTATTGAGAGTTGTATTTACCAGGAGTTAATGGCAATATTGAAAAATGTAGATATGAATTCTATTCCAAATTATATTTCCAAGGTTCAAAAAACAAACAAACAAAAATCCATGAGCTGGAGCTATTTATTGTTCACCATCAGAAGGCAAAGTATTATTAGATTTTGAAAAATTGTGTTGTAGTAGATCTATAACCTCTTTCAAAATTGGTTATTAAGCTATAATAGGAAAAATTAGTATCTATGTTACTATCACTGACTCATTGTTCCTGTTTGATCCAAACCAGCAGTAGGGTATCCTCCTTTGTTTCGTTTTTAATACTCTGACATAATTTCAAGACCTCTTAAAAAGTCATAAAAAACATTCATACTTTGTGTAACTTTCTGTTTCTACCTATACAGCACTTCCCTATGAACTAGAAATCAAGTAAATTTTCAGAAAAGTGCAATTAAATAGGTAGTAGACACTTAAAGAAAAATATAGAAAGTTCATGACCTGTAAGAGATCATTTTATTTTGCCTCTCTTAACCAGTTAACTACCACACGTCCAAAACGAAACCATCCCCACACGCCACATTTTGAATTTAATTTAAAAAATCAAATTGCAATGAATATTATAAAAATAAATGTTACTCACAATTCGGGTGTTCTTGAATATTTTCAGCTGAAAATTCTCACGAAAAATTATTTTAAAGTTGGTCAGGGCTGCCACATAGGGAAAACATTTTTTTTCTTAATAGGCGTGCGGCATGTGGAGAAGGTCCGCCGCTTGTGTCTACAGATGCTTAATGGTGTACAATGGGTTAAGCTCATTATATTCAAATCATCCTTTATGTAGTCTACATCCTTCAATACCTAAACATTCTTTATAGTAGAGTGCTATATTGAGTACAATTAAGTGAATAGTGCCTCTTCATGCCTTAAATATTTTAGATAATTCTCTCATTACACAGATGCAAAGATCTTAAAAATTTTTAATTTTTCTCCTGGATAAGTCTCTGTTTCTCCAAGTGTGGTTTGTTTTCCTAAGTGTGTACTAGCTACATTAGATTCAGTCATTGTGCATATAAAAAGAAAGATTCTTGGGTTGCCACCTCCCGATCTACTAAATTAGAGAGACTTGGGGTCCTCAAATCTCAATTTTTAAACAAGCACCAAGTGATTCTTATGTACACTAGTGATTGCAATACATGAATTATGTGTAATTATAATTCTAAATTCTTTGAGAACAAGAATTCTGTAATTCTGTAATTACCGATGAGAAAATCACCATAGAGAATGCTCAGTAGCAACTAGTTTTTAGGAATGCTAAAATGCCTTTCATGTAAAGGATAGAGGTTGCTATTCACAATTGAAGGATTATTCTAGGTTCTAGAAATCAAGAATGTGAAAACCTGAAAAGTATTGCTTCTGCAGAAGCGTGAGCATTATATCAATAAAACCATACAAGTATTATGAATACAAGCTTGATATTGGACACCAAATAGAATGAGGTATTAGTATTTGAACATGCATCATATAACATGATTCTGCACACATCAACTCTTGTAATTTTTGTCACTGCCTTATTTAATATAGCAAAACTGTATTTACTTACTAAGAGTAAACATTAGCTTAGTTTTTAAACCTCTAACATCTACCAATAGCCACAACTAAGCTTCCTAAAAATATGTAGTTCAGAATAATAGACCACTGTGAACCAATACCAACTTTTAGGAAATCCAGCGATGGCTGGATAAAAATAGTTAGAAAATAGTAGTGTAGTAGTCATGTTCAGTAAATTGCTACTAATACTAATAGAAGCCAA